TGAGAAGGAGAAGCCAGAACCAAAGCCTCCAACCCCAGTTTATGAACCTCCTAAGAAAGAGTAGCCTAAACCAGAAAACAAGCCACCAACACCCATCTATGAACCTCCTAAGAAGGAGAAGCCAGAACCAAAGCCACCAACCCCAGTTTATATAAACAACCTAAGAAGGAAAAACCTAAACTTGAATACAAGACACCAGCCCCTATCTATGGACCTCCTAAGAAGCAGAAGCCAGAACCAAAGCCACCAACACCAGTTTATGAATCCTCTAAGAAGGAGAAGCCTGAACCAGAACACAAGCCACCAGCCCCTGTCTATAAACCTCCTAAGAAGGAGAAGCCAGAACCAAAATACAAACCACCACCCAAGCCATTGCCGCCTTATGGTGAGTACCCTGAGAATCCTACGGTGGAGAAGCCACCGACTGCATACAGCAAGCCACCTTATGGTTTGTATGTGGGATACCCCAACTGAAGAAGCAATCTATTTCACAATTCCGGGCAGCTCACAAGCACTCATTTGAATAAATTTGAACCTACAAATAAGAGCTGCTGCCTGCTCATGTCATGCCTTCCTGTATCTCCTTATAGATCAGATGCTTCTAGTTGGAAATGCCCTTGTCAACACTCATTGGAATGTCTGCTTGTAGGTAATGAGCATAACCTAATTCATCTTATGTGAATGCCAACTGCAGTCATTAGTATTACAGATTCCTTCTTTCACTGTTTCTTACTTTGCCTGTTTGCAGCCTAAACAATCCCTGCATGGAGAAAAATGTAGGCAAATTAGAGTCAAAACATCATAAAAGAAATTTTAGGCAATAATATAAGTTTAAAGTAACCAATCATCATGTCAAAGATCCCTGAATGTCAATGATAACATATCATATACATAATAGCGTATGTCTGAAATGAAATCAAGGTATATGGGCAGCATTCAAACTGCCAAATTTAAGCACAGAAAGGCTAAGATATAAATCAACTATTAGCGGATAGCATATATATATATATATATCTTCTTTTATCTTAGTATTATTGTACATTTCCAATCTCCTTTAATTTCATTTGTGCTGGAAACTTATTCAACATTAAAAAGAAATTAGGATATGACCTGTACGATGAGGAAACTTAAATTCTTAGTCAACATGCCAAAAGAATGACAACCTTATGTTATGACGTAATCTTTAAGAAATGATACGATAACCATCCATTATCCATATAACATGTCACACTGGAACAGATTTTAGTTTCACCTTTAAAATGGTATGTTGATAATTCTCACTCAAGTGGTGAAAAAAAGCCAGGAAGTGCAACATTTCAAAGCAACCAACCAACATAGAGCAGCATTCTACTTTTGCAGTGTACAATCATTTACTTAATCGAGTTTCCCTTCTCTTACAAGGATAAAAAACGGAGGAAAGGTGGGTGGCAGAGGAAAAAGGTTAGTTATGATATTCCACCATGCATTTAGTCTGAATTCTAGCAAATTTTAACATTTGCACACTCTGAATTCTAGCAAATTTTAACATTTGCACAAAGAATGATATGTTAAAGAATCTTTAGTGAAATAATTCTCACACCAGGGATTGCATCAATTTATATGTACGATCTTTCTCATGAAAAAACCTTGAAATTTGGCCTGTGATTACTACTAACTGTTGGGTATGAGATCACCTTCAGTGGTGTCAGAAAATAACACTTTGATCAATCACTCCACCTTCCCCTTCATAGAGTAGTCACTAGGATTTTATTCACCTTATTGCTCTTTAACCTCAAGTTTCTTGGTAAAAACCTTTGAACCAAAACCATGGCATCTAGGGAGCTTTGTAATGGCCTGCAGGATGTGGTTATTTATGCTCTAGAAAAATCTAAGATATTGAAAATGGTTAGCCAAATTAACCTACTTTTTTGTCCTGTTTTCTTCTTCACCTTAAATGTTTACCTTCCCTTGTCTCCTATATGTAGACCTCATCAGTAAACTTGGTTGCCTTGTCTGCTAGGCCCCCACTGTCCTGTTTTGCAGGTATGTGGACATATCACAACATACAGGGCACTTGAAGTTTCAAGTCATCTTCACTAGCGAGAAAACAGATAAATAAAAATATAAGCTCTTTGATTTGAACTGATAACTTTGATTTCTTCTAATGCTGTTTCTCACGCAGGTTCTCAAAGGTTATAGCTGCCTGCCCGAGATTTACCTACATCACATTCTTGGTTATTCAACCAAGGTTTATGCTTGTATTTTTACGGAATATGGACAAGCTAAAGGAAAATAACATGCAAGGACTAATCTAGTTTGGCAAAGTGTTCATAACAAATGTCAATATAGGTCCTACATATAAATGCAATTGCAGCCACAACGTCATTAAACAGAGCACAATTAATGCTTTTTCCTAATGAATTTCAAGCATACTGTGGTCCGTTGAACTCATCCTGATAATTAGGACAAAGTCATGATTATCTCTCACCATCAGGGAGTCCTTGAAGACGGAGGCTAAATATGATCGGTGATTGGCAAACAAGTAGGAACCACCAGCTACAAAATAATCCAGCCTATAAGTCAGCTCCCAATTTGATGGAGCCAAGACACGTTGTTATCAACCTCTTGGTTTCATATGCCAAATACAAGAAGATTTGCAGTCGGTACTGTTTCTAAATCATGATCTATTATTTAAGATCACTACATATTGCTAGATATATAGTAATGAGAAAAAGTTCATTTTGGTGGAGAATTGAAGAGGTTCTACAAGAATTATGAAAGCTTCCTAACAACTAAACCAGTTTAAATTGCCCAAAGATCTTCACCTAACATCAGGGTGTGGCTAATTTCCTTTACAGATGTTTTCACTAGAATTAGTATGATGTAGATCAACTAACAACAATCAAGCAAGATAATGAGCCTCGGAAAAGGTTATTAAAAGCCTCATTTCATAATTCACAATAATTCACAAACTAGAGGTTCGCTGATCTGCTACCCATTAATTCCAATTCCTTGATTATGGGATCAAAAAAAAAATTGACTAGGTTCAAAATGCCACATATACAACACTCTCTAGGAGGAAAGTATAGATTGAGATCTAGAGGCAGAAGCAGAATGCCAATGTACTTGATATTTAAGACCCACCAGAATCTGCAGTCTATTTCTCAAGATTTGGCAGAAGCAGTAAAACTTCCTGTATGATCATCTATGCTAGGTATTACATCAATTTGGTCCTTGTTCCATATCCCACATCCTCATAAATTTCATATAATGTACACTGCTGCATCTTCAATTTTATCTTCTACGAATGACCAGATGGATTTCATATGGTTTTTTAACCTTGTCTCGGCGTTCTCAGATTATTACCCTAGACAAAAATTCTGTCAGCCATCTCAATAGACTAAGAGAATGAAATACACCAATCAACTAAGCGCTTTAACATATGAAATACTTAGTAACTCCTAAATATTTTTGTTTCACACCAATAAACCATACATTTTGACATTTTATAAGACAGTGGGATCCTTTCTCACCAACCAAACACAATATGCCTTTTATCATTGTTTTAGCAAATTCAAGTCATTTCGGCCACTTTCTTGTAATCTTGTGACTTATTCATGCTACCTCTAGACCATTTTAAATGAGGGATATGTAAAGTTTTGTGAATGCTCACTTCAACTAAACTGATTTTATTACAAGAAGTATATGCATATATCATGATTAGCTGATAGTCCATCATCATTAAGGATGGATGGCGCCTCAAACGCCAAATAATGGAAATTTTCCTTGAAAGTCATTTTCTATGCTATGTTTCTCCTACTTCAATATTATGGGCAAGCATTAAATAAAAGATGGCTTATACAGCGATTGTTTAAGGCAATCTTTAGATATAGATGGCCTTCTTTGCTTAATTGATTAGATTCATTATGGGTATAGTTTAAATCTATAAGTAGTGCTGTAAATTATGCTTCTGTTTTTTGGCTATAGTACCATATTATAGAGATTATGCTGATGTAATCTCCACTTATTTTAATGATATCTCTATTTTTATCAAAAAAATATATATATTATGGGCAAGCATTAAATAAAAGAAAATTGTAGACAAGGATGTTTAGGAGTTTAAAATGGAGAAGATGAATTTGATATTCTAACCACTATTCATATTCATTTTGACAAACTAAAGGTTCATGGGGGACCCAGATAAAGGGTTATTATTTACACTAAATTATCTTCTTTCAAAGAAAAAAGAAAGAAAAGGATACTAGATTAGCAAGTCTTGAGAAATAAGAATTCTAGCAGTCAACTCTCTTCTGGAAATACAGTGGGGAAATTCAGGCTGCTAAAAAAAATACAAGAGGAAATACAGTGCCTGAATAGAATTATTTATTAAGTTCATCCACTTACCTCGCTTGAAGCAGGCCTGACTCAGACATCAAATGCCGAATTAGGTAGCTTGACGTTCAGATTCTACGCTTCTTCTGGTCTGTCAATGATTGTTTATGGCACTGAAACCCAGAAGAATACTTTCAAGTTCACAATCCAGATGGACCTGATCATTCCCTATCACTGAACATGTTCCTGAAAACAAAAGGCATAGAAGTTGACTTGACTATAAAAGGAATTGTAAGGGTTAAAACAGATCCTCAATCGAGAAATGAAGTGCACAGAAAACATTAGTCTTGTTAAGAACCACAAATTATTCTTATGCAGTCCAATATAACAGTAAACAACTCGGAAAAATGAAGTACACAGAAAACATTAGTCTTTTGTCTTTTGCCTAAACCATTGAGGGAGCAGGCGGTATGACTAGAGTAACACCATCAAAACCCAAGCAAAATGGCCAGCGAGTCACCAGCCTTATGCTACTCTGCCTATCATTATTCTTCTATTACTGTAATTTTCCGGAGTTACATCTAAGCAAGTTCAATACCAAAGAATTTAATGTGAAAATATAGTGATCACACTCAGCATTGTAGAAGGAGAGGGAAAATATTTACAGTCCACTTAAAGGTCTGAATATAGAACTATAATCAAGCCACATGCATGTGCTAACCTCCTCTAATATTGAATAATTAAGCCCTTTATTCACTGGTGCAGATTTGCACTGTGCTGGGACCCATATGTACCTAACCAAAGTTATAAATCTTCATAAACAAATGTTGCTTCACTTCAAGATGTGGAGTATGAAATAAGCAAGATTTTGAAAACTAGACTAAAAACAAACCCTCCATCGACTATAAGAGGAAGCACTGCTAGTCATTTAGCACAACCAAAAGACAAGTTCAAAGATGTCTCTTAGATACTTGATACTGTTGCTCCTCGCAGTGGTAATCTTCACCCCTTTCTCTTTTGCATACAATGAAGAACCACCCAAATATGAGCATGAACCTCCAGAGAAAAATAAGCCACCATTCCTTGTACCTCCTAAGGAGGAGCCTGAACCAGAACAGAAGCCATCAACCCCATTTTATAAAACCCCTGTGAAGCCTGAAGCAAAACAAAAGCCACCAATCCCCATTCATGTAGCTCCTAAGAAGCAGAAGCCAGAACCAAATTATGAGCCACCTCTAAAGAAACAATATCCGGAACCAAAATACAAGCTACCAATCCCAATTCGAGAACCTCCAAAGAAGGAGACACAGGAACCGGCATACAAGCCACCAACTCCAGTTCTTGAACCTCCAAATAAGGAGAAACCAGAACCAGAACACAAGCCGCCACCACCTCTAAGTCATGAACTTCCAGGTCACCAGGAACCTGAATATAAGCCACCAGCTCCAGCTCCAGCTAATGGACCTCCCAAGATAGAGAAGCCAGAACCAGAAAACAAGGCACCAGCTCCAGCTCATGAACCTCCCAAGATAGAGAAGCCAGAACCAGAAAACAAGGCACCAGCTCCAGCTCATGAACCTCCCAAGATAGAGAAGCCAGAACCAGAAAATAAGGCTCCAGCTCCAGCTCCAGCTCCAGTTAATGGACCTCCCAAGATAGAGAAGCCAGAACCAGAAAACAAGGCATCAGCTCCAGCCCATGAACTTCCTAAGAAGGATGAGCCAACAATAGAATACAGGGCACCAACACCAACTCAGGAACCACAAAAGGGTGAGAAACCGAAACCAGAATATATGGCTCCACCCCCAGCTCATGAGCCACCAAAGAATGAGAAGCCGAAGCCAGAATACAAGGCACCACCCACAGCTCATGAACCTCCTAAGGAGAAGATGAAGCCAGAATGTGGGGTACAACCCCCAGCCCATGAACCTCCAAAGAAGAAGCCAGACCAAGAATACAAGGCACCACCCCTGCCCCCAGCTCATGAACCTCCTAAAGAGAAGCCAGAACTAGAATACAAGGCACCACCTCCAAAGATAGAGAAGCCAAAACCAGAATATAGGGCACCGACACCAGCTCCTGAACCACCAAAGATGGAGAAGCCTAAACCAGAAAACTCCGCATTGGCACCAGCTCATGAGCCTCTAAAGAAGGAGAAGCCAGAACTAGAAAACAGGGTGCCGGGGCCAGCTCTTGAGCCTCCGAAGGAGAAGCCAAAACCAGAAAACATTGCACCGGTGCCAACTCATGAACCTCCCAAGAAAGAAAGGCCAGTACCAGAATATGAAGCACCAGCAGCAGCTCATGAACCTCCCAAGAAAGAGGGTCCAGAACCAAAGTATGGAGCACCAGGCCCAGTTCATGAACCTCCAAAGAAAGAGAAGCCAGAACCAGCACCAGTCCATGAACCTCTTAAGAAGGAAAATCCAAAACCAGAATACAAGGCACCAGCGCTACCTCATGAACCTCCTAAGAAAGAGAAACCAGAGCCCATATCCAGGGCAACGAACCCAACTCATGAACTCCCCAAGAAGGAGAATCAAGAACCAGAATGTGGCGGCCCAGGTCATGAACATCCCAAAAAGGAGGAGTCAAAACCCGAATACAAGCCACCCATTCCAGTTCATGAACCCCCCAAGGAGGAAAGGCCATTACCACCTTATAGTGAGTACCCAATCAACCCTCCTATAGTAGAGAAGCCGTTGCTCCACACTACCAGCCACCTTAAGGTCAGTACCCTGTACACCCCTCGTTGGAGAAGCAACCTACTGCATAATTCAAGGCACCTCACAAGCAGTCACCAACCATCCATTTGAAGAATTCATCTACTATGGATATTTAAATAAATTCACACTCATAATAAGAGTTTTTATGAACTCATGTTATTTTTCTTGTATCTCTTCATGAAAGAATGCTCATATCACTAACCGCTATATATCTCCTTGTAGTTAATGAGCATAACATTGTGTGAATGCCAACCAGAGTAAATAGTTTGATTTCCTTTTTTTTTCTTTTAATGCACCCTAAGCGATACCTCCAAGCTGGACTTTTCTAATATTGTGATAAATACATAGAGAACAATGTTCGCAAATTAAAGTAAGAAATCTTCATATCACCTTAGATGTTTGAATGCCAAGAATGATAACATACTGTTAGTGTGTGAGATCAAGTCTTAAATGTGGCAGTTACATTTAGTTTATTTTACTTAGTGGTTTAGCAGTTTCTTTTCAGTTTGTAACTTTTCATTTCAGCAACTGTTATGTGTAACTTTCTTTTTCTTTGAAACTTGTATGTGTATGTCCGCTGCTATTTTCTGAAAATATATCAGATACTGTTCATATATTTCAACAGTGTTTTATGTATTTCATAATTTCTCAAGTTAATCCTTGAGTTTATGTTCACCTTATGTTGTTTTTCACTTGAGTTTTCATCTTTACATCATCAAATTGGTATCAGAGCTTACAGTTCTTGAGGGATCTATGAGAAATCTTAGAGAGGTGTGAGAGAGTGAAACATGAGTGACAAGTGAGGGAGAGAATCTTGCTCTTTTATAGCATTTCAGAATGGCTTCTTCTTCAACAAATTCATTTTCTTCTCCTCCAATGTTCAATGGAGAGAATTATGATTTTTGGGCTATTAGAATGAAAGCCTTCCTCAAAGGGAATGATGTCTGGGAAGTCATTGAGCATGGTTTCCAACTTCCTTTTCCATAGGAAAACCCAACAGTGGCACAAATGAAGAGAAACGCAGAGTATAATGTAGGTACATATAGAGCACTTTCTTTTCTGCATAATGCAGTGGCAAATGATATTTTCCCCAAAATTGCATCCTGCCAGAATGCATAAGAAGTCTGGGAAGCACTTAACGAAGAGTATGAGGGGAGTGCTAGAGATAAAAGTGTGACACTGTTAGCTCTCAAACGAGAGTTTGAAATGTTGAAGATGAAGGAAACTGATACAATACGTCAGTATTCTTCAAAATTAGTTGATTTGGTCACTCAAATTTGAATGCAGGGAGAGAGATTTCCTAATTCACGAGTGGTCGATAACATGTTGGTTAGTCTTCCTGATAGATTTGAACCTAAAGTTGCTACAATTGAAGAGTCTTGTGACTTGAGTAGGCTTTCCATTAAAGCACTCACTGAAAAATTGCAAGCTCATGAAAAAAGACCTGCAATGAGATCTGATGAAAGTGTTGAAGGAGCATTTCAAGCTAAGCACAAGGGAAAATATTTAGTTGCAAGAACATATTGGCAGCAGGAAGCTAACAAAGTGGAGAAAGGCAAACAGCAAGCTGAATGTTCTAGAAATTTTGACAAGAGAGACAAATTTCCTCTTTGTCCAAACTGCAGAAGGACAAATCATCTTGAAAAAGACTGTTGGCACAAAGGAAAGCCACGGTTTTATTGTAAGAATTGCAAGAAACATGGCCATATAGAAAAATTCTGCAAAGCTAATCAAGTGTAGTACAGGCCTAAGCAAGTGTAATAGACTAATTTCACAGAAGATCAAAGTGAGGAAGATTATCTGTTTGTGGCTATGCACAGTTGTTTTGTGACTTCAGAGGATTCACGGTATGTTGATAGTGGTTGTAAAAATCATATGGTTAGAGATGTGAAGCTGTTTACAAAGCTGGACAGGTCTATTCGAACAAGAGTTAGACTTGGCAATGGTTATGTAGTACAAGCAGAAGGCAAGGGTAATGTCTCAATTCAAACTAAGGAATGTATTAAAACTATCACTGATGTTTTGTACATTCCTAGTTTGAGTAAAAAACTTGCTAAGTGTTGCACAATTAATGAAGCATGGATATTCTGTACATTTTAAACAAGATGTATGTCAGATTTTTGATTTGCATGGTTTTGAGGTTGCTAATGTGAAAATGGTGGATAATAGCTTCCCTTTAATGTGGAGTGATGTTAAGCAACATGTTCTGATTTCTAAAGAAGATGAGACTACCTTGTGGCATAGGAGATATGGTCACTACAATGTTAGAACTTTGAAGTTTTTGCAATCTTCTCAACTTGTAAAAGATTTGCCACAAATTTATGTCAGTAATGATGTATGTAAGAGCTGTCAACTTGGAAAAATTCATAGAATAGCTTTTCCCACAACTAAGGCATGGAGAGCAAGTCAGAAACTTGAATTGGTGCATACGTATTTGTGTGGTCCTATGAACACACTTTCTCTCAATCAAAACAAAAATTTTCTCTTGTTCATTGATGATTTGACTAGAATGACTTGGGTGTATTTTTTGTCTAGCAAGTCACAAGTATTCTCTATTTTTAAAAGGTTTAAAGTGTTGGTAGAGAAGCAAAGTAGCTGCCAACTTAAAATCTTAAGGTTAGACAATGGAAAGGAATATACTTCCAAGGAGTTTGATGTTTTTTGTGAAGAACATGGTATAAATCATCAATTAACAGTAAAGTATACACCACAGCAAAATGGTGTTTCTGAGAGAAAAAATAGAACAATGATGGAAATGGCTAGAAGCATGCTTTCTGAGAAGAATTTGCCCAATAAGTTTTGGGCAGAGGCAGTGCATACTGCTGTTTATTTGCTAAATGGTCTTCCAACTAATGCTGCTGAAGGTAAAACTCCTATTGAGGCTTGGTTTGGACTTAAGCCTTCAGCTTATCATTTGAAGGTTTTTGGTTCCATATGTTCTATGCATGTTCCAGCAACTAGAAGAACCAAGTTGGATGAGAAAGCTGAGATGGAAATTCTAGCTGGTTATGTAGCACAGTCAAAGTGATACAGAATTTATAATTTGCAGTCTCAAAAAGTGGAAGTGCATAGAAATGTTTTAGTTGATGAATCTGCCTTTTGGAGCTGGGATGATCAGAAAAGTCTTCTTCTAAGTTAAATGAAGACTCTAATGTTGAACAAAGTGCAGCTACTACTTCTAGACACCAAAATGTTGCTGAAACTGATGATGACTCACCACCTTTGAAGGTAAAGTCAATTGAGGATGTGTATGCTAGGTGCAATTTGGCTACTTCTGATCCAACTTGTTTTTTTGAGGCTTCAAAACATGATGAAATGATGGCTGCTATGAAAGAAGAGCTGGCTATGATTGAAAAGAACAAAACTTGGTCACTTTGTCCTAAATTAGAAGGTAAAAATGTGATTGGGGTTAAGTGGGTTTTTAGAACAAAGCTTAATCTTGATGGTTCAGTAAACAAGTATAAGGCCAGATTAGTGGTTAAGGGATATGCACAGCAGCAAGGAGTAGATTTTTCTGAGACTTTTGCACCAGTCACAATGCATGATACTATCAAACTATTGTTTGCTATTTCTGCTCAAAATGGTTGGAAGGTATATCATATGGATGTGAAATTTGCTTTTTTAAATGGTTTTTTGGAAGAAGAAATCTATGTTGACCAACCGAAGGGGTTCCTTGTTCATGGAAGTGAGAATATGGTTTACAAGCTTCATAAGGCTCTTTATGGTCTGAAACAGGCTCCTAGGGCCTGGTATAGTAGTATTGATGCCTACTTAATGCAGCAAGGTTTCAGGAGGAGTGAAAATGAAGCTACTTTGTACGTGAAAGACACAAATGGTGATGTACAACTTCTGGTTTCACTTTATGTTGATGATTTTCTGATTACAGGTTCTGATGTTCAAGCTATGGAACATTTTATGCTTGTTATGAAGGAGTTTGACATGTCAGATCTTAGAGAAATGAGTTACTTTCTTAGTTTGGAAATCAAACAATGTGGAAATGGAATTTTCTTGTCACAGCAAAAATATGCACGGGATATGATGAAGAAATTCAATATGGGATACAGTAATCCAATTTCTACTCCTCTTGTTTTGAACTGTAAAATGTCAAAAAATGATGGTAGTGCTTATGTTGATGCATCTTGGTATAGAAGTATCATTGGCAGTTTGCTTTATCTTACTGCTACTAGACTAGACATTATGTTTGTTGCCAGTCTATTGTCTAGATACATGAGTTCTCCTACTCAAGTTCAATTGAGTGTTGCAAAGGGAGTTCTGAGGTATGTTAATGGTACTGTTGATTATGGAATCTGGTTTAGCAAGAATGATTATGGTTGCTTATCAAGATATTTAGATAGTGACTGGGTAGGGAGCATAGATGACGATAGAAACACTTCTGGTTACTTATTTAAGTTTGGATTAGGTGTGTTTTGTTGGAATTCTTGTAAACAAGAAGTGGTTGCCCAATCTCCTGCTAAGGCTGAGTATATTTCAGCTGTGGAAGCTTCAAATCATGTTATATGGTTGAGGAAAATGCTATCTGATATGGGCAGCCTCAGTTTAATCCTAGTTTGATTTATGTGGACAATACATTAGCTATTGCAATTGCTCAAAATCCTGTGCAGCACAAGAAGACTAAGCATGTTCATGTCAAGTATCATGTACTTAGGTAGTACATCAAGAACAAGCAAATTTAGTTGCTTCATTGTAGTTCAGATGTACAACTTGCTGATATTCTTACTAAGTCCTCGCCAAAATAGAGGTTTGAGATGCTGAGAGAGTAGCTTGGAGTTACCAGACTTGCTCTCAAGGAGGAGTGTTAGTGTGTGAGATCAAGTCTTTAATGTGGCAGTTACATTTAGTTTATTTTACTTAGTGGTGTAGCAGTTTCTTTTCAGTTTGTAACTTCTTTTCATTTCAGCAACTGTTATGTATAACTTTCTTTTTCTTTGAAACTTGTATGTGTATGTCTGCTGCTATTTTCTGAAAATATATCAGATATTGTTCATGTATTTCAACAGTGTTTTATGTAATTCATAATTTCTCAAGTTAATCCTTGAGTTTATGTTCACTTTATGTTGTTTTTCACTTGAGTTTTCATCTTTACATCATCACATACATCAAGAACATGATTGTGAATTTGTATTTGTTTATGTGTGGGTATCCCGGCAAGTACTAATAGGAATCAAAATTAAGGACAAAAAGGTAAAGCACAACAAAATTTACAAATCTTTTCCATTTTAGCATCGTAATATAGACCCATATTCTTTCAGAATCTTTTGAAGTGCTCATTCTACCTCTAGACCATTTTAGCTAATCTTTGAAGTACTTGCAAATGTATCAAAAATCTTGTGATAGTCACTTCAACTTCATTGGATTTTATTACAAAAAGAATGTATTATATATATACATATATATCCTAATTAAGAACGTGAAGAACAAGGTGGTGAGGTGGAAGAGGTAGTTCATTTTTGTACGGGATACATGAACAGAAAGAGTGAGTAACGAGCTTGCTGCTTGTATCTCCAAGTGGCATATAGCTAAGACATACATGAACTAAACGATGTGGATTTAAAAAACAAGTTGTTGGATTATGTTAGGGAGGAAGGGTTAGTGGACTTGGAGGCCCTAATTAACCCGGAGTAGCTAGCGGTGTTTGGGTTTGTGGATACCACAAACCTGTATGCCTAAAGTATATTTCTTTTGTAAATTCTGAGTTTTAAACAACCTGAGTCTTTGCATTTGTTTGCATAGGAGAAATGAGTAGCATGCTAGAAAGATAACATGAATGGGCACAGAGATCAAGAGGGCGCTTGGTAGAGTCCAGCTTGCACAAGCAGATGCACTTTGACGAAAGACCTGCAGAACCACCTCGCAACTCATCTCATAGAGAAAGGGGTTCTAACTCATTTGCAATGGATCATGCCAAGCATGGAGTTGAAGCTTCACTTGCAAATTCATGAAGGCGCCAACATGAGGAAGTGGACGTTGAAAATGATGTGCTACCTCTTGTGTGATGACGATCTGGTTCTAGGGCTCATTCAACCCCTGTTTGTCCATTAAATGCCCTTCCTACAACGTCTAGTGGTGGCATTGAAGCCGCATAGCCAATGGTGTAGGTGCATGGTCTTAGGATTGCATACCTTGAGGGCTTTAGCTATACTAAGGCTGATTGCCAGACAGTTATGCTACAAGGTATGCACAATTTCATTCCTTTTGTGGACCGACAAAAGGCGAAGAACTTCGTGTAGTAGAATGAAGGTAGCGCTGCCATGCTCAAGCTAATGGATGTAAGTATTATTATTAAATGTTTGCACTCATTGTTTCATGTGCTTATGTCGAAAGCTGACAATACAAGCTGAATGATATGCTTTCAGCTATGCTGTGGCGTTGTTCGAGTGCAAACAGGCGGCTAGGGGATAGACAAGAAAGCTTAGAGAAAGCTGTTAATAGCTTACTTCGGAGAAAGCCAACTTGGAAGATGAGGTGAATCATCTGCAAAGCTCTAAGATGGGTAACAGAATGGCATCAACTGAAAGCCAAGTAGATGAGCTGGCGAATCGGGTTAATGAGCTGAAAGGGCAATTGGAAAAGGCTCAAGCAAAAAAAGAGAGTGGGATCCAGGTTGCCAAACAGGAGGCCAGATAAGCTAAGGAGCTTGCAAAAAGGTCGAAGTTGAAAAGGATAACACTCTGAATGAGCTGAGCACTTTCAAACTCAGGGTAGCTAAGGTCGACCAACATGTAGGCTGTGCTTTAAAGGTGATGACTAATATGAGGAAGGTGTTTTAGTGGTCCATCAACATCGCTTACGCCTAAGGAGCAGAGTGGTTGGTGGAGTCAGATGCATTCCATGACGTTGTGGCAATTGCATCGATGAACACTACGATCCAGATTTATGACGACGTTTGCGGAAAAGTGTTGAATCACTGACTTGATTTCCCAATTGGTGAGCTGTCATTCATCAAGGGAGAGGACATTGATGAACAAGGCAAGAGTTTGCTCCCTCCCTTTGAGACGACAGTGCAGCTTGGGTAAAATCTGAGCGAGGATGAGGTACCCATTTTTCCTCCGATCATTTTTGAGGAAGGAGAAGACGAGGATCCTTTGTCGAGTTTTAAGGCTTGGGTTACTAGGGCACCTAATGCAAAAGTTGAGCCAACGATTATGCTTGACGTGTCTTAGCCCCCTCCTCCACTCAATCTGACGCTATGATAGTCGTGCCAACTGTAGATCTGATCAATGATTAAGGCATAAGGCCTTTAGTTTTTGTTTTTTTGAGCTATGATATTTTGAACCGTTTCAATCTATTTTCCTATAATGCAAAGTACAACTTGATAGGAATGAGATTGAGGAGGTTTACTTATAAAATTCACAAATTTATTGACGTTTGAATGTACATATTACATTTTGCAGTGACTACAAGTAACAACATGCACTAACTATAGTATTTTGTGAGGTTATTCACATTCCACGTAAATGGTAATAGTCGACCTTGTGAATCTACCAATAGATATGATCGAGGTCATTTAATAGCAACCACCTTATACAAACCTTCCCAATTTGGAGTGAGTTTGCCTATATGCGTATAAGTATTGGTTAACCCAGCCTTGTGTAGAACTAGGTCACCAACTTGGAATTGACGGGCACAAACTCTCTTGTTGTAAAACCTGGTGAACTGATTCTGGTAAACAATGTTTCTCACTCGTGATGCTTCTCTAGCTTCTTCAAGAAGATCCACATTTTCTTGAAGATGCTGCTTGTTAACGGAATCATCAAAATGGGCAAATCTCTAGCTCGGTAAACCCACTTCAACTGGGATCATGGCGTCGTTTCCATAAGAAAGGGAAAACGGAGTCTCTCCTATAGTCGAGTTGGGTGTCATTCAACATGACCAGAGGACTTTACTTAGTTTGTCTACCCAATTCATTTGAGTGACTATGACGCCAGTCTTAAGACCGCGCAAAACAATTTTATTTGCGGATTCTACCTGGCCATTTGTATGCGGTGTATACACAGACATTAGAACGAACTCGATCCTATAATCTTCGCAGAACGACCTCAGGGTTGCAACTCGTAATTGGGGGCCATTGTCAGCATTGATACATCAAGGGATACCAAACCTGTATATTTACAAATAAGCTAAGTACCCAAGATATATGTGTTTGTCCAATATATCTGATTTGAATACTATTGTACCAGCACAACACCGAACTGAATAAGAATTCTTCCACCTTTTTCTCCGTTGTTGTGGATAGTGGTTTGGCTTCTACCCACTTAGTGAAGTAATCTACGGCAACGATAAGATGTGCACAACCTCCTTTACCCTTAGCAAAAGGACTAAGTAGGTCCACACCCCATTGAGCAAAAGGACAGGGCAAGGTGAGAGATGATAACATTTCCCCTATAATAAAGGAGAAATATCTTTAGTCATGAGGTCATTATGGAAGCCTAGATAGACTTACATTTTCGTGCCAGAATGATCTATGTTACTTGGCATGTGGATGTCATTGGAATTGACTTGGCAAGTTGGGCACTTCTTGACGTAGTTTTGTGTGTCTTCAACCATATTAGGCCAATAGTACCCCTACTTGAAAAGTTTCCAAGCTAAAGTTTTTCCCTCGATGTGAGTGCCACACACTCCTTCATATACTTCTCTTACAGTGCACTCAACTTCATAAAGAGCAAGGCAATGTAATAGAGGTGTTGACATTGCTCGCTTATACAATTAACCATCAATTAAGGTAAAATGTGCTGCTTTACGCCAAACAAGCCGAGCCTTAGATAAGTTTTCAGGTAGTCCACCATTTTGTAAATAATTAGTCAATGGTGTGGTCTAGCTTGGCGACAATGGGTCAATACTTAATATCTGACAGTCAAGTATCAGGTTAGCATAGCTCGGAGCATCAAGAACCTTTACGCATGTTGTTCATTGAGGATTGGTGTCTTTCGATGAAGCCAGCTTAGACAATTCGTTAGCTTGTCAATTGTCTGCCCGTGGTATCTTATGGATCCGAAATGAAGTGAAACCAGCTTTTAATTGTTTAACCATGGAAAAATAGTGGACGAGTTAGGGATCTTTAATATCACAACTCCCATAAGCCACCCTTGTTTTTCTTAGTGGAGAGTGTGGAGGAAATCCTTGGTGAGTGAAGCCAAAGTAAAGGATTAGGCTCCAAGTGGTTGGACCATTCATCTACAAAATCATTATGCAAGCTCTTCTTCACTACTCTCTCTTTAATTTTTGTTTGGTGGTTGTAAAGAGGTGAAAATCTTCCAACCAATTCACCCCCCTCTTGGAGTGCATTAAGCCAACACACCCCTATTCAATAGGGGAATTAATGAGTTATCAGGGATCAAGTGGGAAAGGATTCTTTCCATAGCCATTTCTAGAACTCTAGTTCTTTCTTCTAGCTTAGACGTCGGAGCTAATTCTACGAGTCTACCAGGTTGTGTATTTCGGACAGGATGTCTCCGTCACGTCTCTCTTGGGTTCTGAAACTGTTCATTAGGCTGGGTAACATACTTAGTGGATGTTTGCTCGTCATCAGAGGTGCTTGATTGCCCCCCTTCTGCTCCCCTTATGAAAAGGTTTCTCGACATTGATTGAAAGTCATTCAACTTAAACTTCAAAAGTTGGGTATCATTCTGGTTGTCCATCCCATTCCTTGGAGGATGATGGTTCCTTGGAAAAGTATGCACTAGGTTTAGCTTCAACACTGTAGTAACACCACTTCTTAGTTACTTTCCCACAAACGGCACCAAAATATTTGGGCAGCTACATGAAGCTACACTGTAGAGGTCTTTGACTGCTTCAACACTTGAAAAACTCGAGGATGTTTCCTTGGGAAAACACCTTGATGCTCAAGTTAGTAACACTCAATATTCTAGATAAAGATGTTCTCTAAGAGAGTAATTGCAAAAGGAGAAGTGTAATGAAATTATTACCTTGCATGAGAGTAGGTGGGGGTATTTATAGCCTCTATTGACGGCAGGAGGTTCCATGTGT